TTGACCATATATTACCCCTATTTAGAAATAGTGCTTTATACGGCTTTATCGAATCTTATATTACCTTCGCCATTGTAGGTAGGTATATTTTGTTAAAAATATAATTATTCATCTCTCAATATATGTGTCATTAGATATCACGTTTAGATGATTCCATCCGAACTATTCTACACAAAATTTTGACAAATTAATAGATTATTAATGTAATAGATTATCACTTACTCCGGGCTCAACATGCTGAAGTTTATAATTTTAGGTTAAATTTTATAGCAAACTCGAAAAAGCACCAGTCGAAGAATGAAAAAGTCCCCTTTAATAGATTCATTTTTACTCCGGGCTCTACAATCTTAATTTCACGTTTCTAGGTTCAATTTTATAGAAAATTTAAAATGTACCTTTTGAAAAACAAAAAAGTACCAAAAAGTTGTTCATATAGAAAAACGAATGATTAAAAAATTTTATTTCTAAGTTCACTGGTTTAAAAAATATATGGGGAAGTAACAAGTACCAAAATACAGTTTTTGCCCATTTACTCCCTAAAAGGGTCGAATTAAAAAAAGTACTAGACACCTGTCCGCTTATTTCTTAAATGATCAACGATAAGTTTTAAGGATTTTGGATATGGAAAACCAAATTTCTGCTTTCTAGCTTCACCGGTTTAGGCTGTGCGATGGTGAATCAGTGAGTCAGTAACGTTAGAATTTTATGTACATACATATATAAGTATGTGTATAGATTATATGAATTTGAGCTGAAAGCCTTATTAGATTGATCATATTATTATTTTAATAACAATAATAATTCAAATGGCATAGGGCGCAACATAGAAACGGTTATGCAAAATTTTCTTGAAATTCCTGTGAAATGAAGAAATTTTAAAATAATCTTTTATTTCTTATATTAAATTTAAAATTCTAAAATTTCAATAAAATTAATGCTGTTATTAACCATTATATTTAATATTTTTTATTTTTCAGCGACGATTAACGTTAAAAAATCAAACGCACGTACAGGTGAAGAGTATAAAAGCATCGGATAGATGAATATAGCATTTTTACTTGTTTTATTCCACATCAAAAAATACATACAGTGTCTCACAAAAGTATTCGAATTTAGGTATACTATGAAAAGAAATAAAAATTAATTTTTCTTTGTGCTAAATAAATAAATTAATTTGTTATATTCTCTTGGCAGTCCTTAGGTTTGATACAACGCTTTTTAAAACATGAAAACTTTGTACTTATTTATTAAAACCATCCAATATATATTTTTGGTATCGTTGTACTGGACTTATTACAAAAAAACTAAATTAAAGTATGTAAATTTTTTTAAATTTTAAAAAGTGTGACATGAATGCAAAGTTCTGCCCACACAATATATTAAATTTATTTATTAATTTAACACAAAAAATATATTATTAAATTGTGCTTCTTTTTAAAGTCCGCCTAAATTCGAATACTTATGTGAAACACTGTACATACATACATATGTATGTATGTAATATTTTAAATGCCAATCTTTTTTTTGTGTATAAAGAAATAACACAATGAGAACCAAATCTTGGATTGTTGTGAACAAGTTTATAATTTATGTTTTTTTTTTTGTATAAATACATAATTATTAAGCTGTAAATAAAAAACTTGTTATTTCCCTATAGATAATATATCTTCATATATAAGAATAACAAAGAGAAACATAAATGTTTTTTATTAATGATTTGAAATACCAAATAGCTTAAAAATACAATTAAAAGTGGTTTCTTTAGGTGCCCTAATTTCTAAGAAATGAACCGGGATATAGAATTTTATGGCGATCTCAATAAGATCTGTCGCTTTTTGCGTGTAATTTGCAGTTAGAACACAAATTATATTGTTTCGAAGTTATTACTTTTAAAGTAATATGTTCTTTCACTCCCTTAGAACTTCGACAGATTATAAATATGTGTGTAAGTCATTTATATTTAAATCGTGTAAAAAATTGGCCATGTTTAAAAATAAAATTTTGTGACATACATACATATTTACATATACTAGTTTTACCTAGTATATTTAACATTACAATAGTTCTATTTTTTATTATTGTTCATTCTTTATAATTTTTGTTACTTAAAGAAATATTTTATTTCTTTAAACGCACTTTTAAAATGATGTCACTTCCATTTTAATATAAAAAAAATTAATTTCAATAAAAATATATTTTTTCGGAATTTTGTATGTAAATATTTTTAAAGTTTAAAAATGTTTTAGAAAATAAGGTGTACAATTTTATATTTTTTGTTTGTTTTGGAATTGAGTAATATAGGTTCAATATTTCATCTAGGACCCATATATGTTAACCCCAGAATACAGATTATACAGTTAAAAATACAACTAGGCCCAATTTAAACTTTTTAATAAAAAATCAGTTAATTGTCAACAAATAATTAAAAAATTTTGGTAAAATAAAATGAGAGCTCAAAGTGAGAAAATAAATGAAAGATAAACCATTAGAAGATTTTAATTTGTATGGAGTTTAAATTTTATAAAATTTATAATGTTATACTCAAAACATTCGTATTCTGGTCCAAATCTATTATGTTGCTTTCATGACTTTTTATTAAGCATCATTTGCATACATACATAATGATGGTCAAATATGTTACGATTAAAACTAAATCGCTTTTAATTGGGTTACTAGATTAGCATAAACATAATATAAAAGAAACAGTGTTAGCAAGTTTAAAAATCAAAGAAAGCTGCAATTCTTTTATTATTAGTATAATATATACACGACAAATATTACAAAACATAATAATAAAAATAAAAATAAGACAAAATAATATAAAAACTAAAGCTAAGAGAAACGCGATGTCGCATACAATTTACAATTTGTTGTCCATTTTGAGGTCGTTTGAAAAATATTTCAGAAACTAAACCTGTTTAATTTCTTTATACAATATGTAAATGCAGAAATTTGTATGTATGTAAATTGTACATATGTATGTACAAATTTATATACAGGTAGATAAATGTATGAACTTTTTTAACTCACCATTGTGTTGTGTTAATCCCTGTGGCAAAAGCGTTAGGCACCCAATAATTATGAGTGTGTAATAGCAGATTTTACTGTCGAACAGACCATCCAAACCATGTCTTCGTTTTCGCCTCCTCCATAAGAGTCTGGCTTCACGTGGCTGCAACATTTTGCCTGTAGTAAGTAGTAGGCTTATGTTCTGTTTTGTTTCGTTTAGTTTTGTTGTTAGACAAACAAAACTTATTTTAAACTAAAAAACGTTATAGAAAAATGTTCAATTGTTAGAACTTGTGGAATATAATAATACAAATCAATCAGTTTAAATGAATATAAAGTAAAAACTTAAATGAATAAAAAGTAAAAATTACGCGGTCACTCAAATATTCAACCTGAAGGATGTACCAAAAGTTACCTTTATTAAATTACTGTATGCCCAATTACTTGAACTGCGGTATACTACCCAAGAAAAATATTTTCTAGAAAAGCAATGTATTTCTTAAAACAGTTTTATCGGAAGTAAGAATATTTCAAAATATGAAATACAAAAGCATCATGCTGAAATTCAATAAATGAAGTTAAACATTTTGAGTTACACATACATACATACATACATACATACATACATACATACATACATACATACATACATACATACATACATACATACATACATACATACATACATACATACATACATACATACATACATACATACATACATACATACATACATACATACATACATACATACATACATACATACATACATACATACATACATACATACATACATACATACATACATACATACATACATACATACATACATACATACATACATACATACATACATACATACATACATACATACATACATACACTTACATACATAACTACTTTTAAATGTTCATTGCCTTAATTTCACAACATTTTAATTATTCCCCAGAAATTTAAATTATAAATACATATGTATTTGCACAAATCTTTGATGAAATTTTATTTGATTTTATTTCACAACATGATGTTTTAATTATTCCCCAGAAATTTAAATTATAAATACATATTTGCACAAATCTTTGATGAAATTTTATTTGAGTGATGTAGAAACAACGCATCAATCTCCATTTTAAGAAATTATTATTTATATAATTGTTTCTGAAGGAAATTTGAATCATATTATAACAGAAGTAACTGCCAAATTATATCATAAGTGTTTTCTGTTGAATATGGTTAACATTTTAATATATGTACATATTTATTCTTTTATTGTAGATCGATAACAATAAAAATAGAAGTTATTAGCAAAACCTGATAAAGGTACATGTCGAGATTGGAAAAATCCAAAATTCTGGTTTTTTGAATTGAGGGCTAGAAAACATGCGTCAAACTAAAGTCTTTCATATAGATTTATCAAATTTCAAATTTGCCTATTTGTTTCGATGTGAACGATCTGAAAGGTAAAAACAAAAACTCATGTTTTCATGAATATTAGATAAATAAAAATATTATTTCAATTAAGATGAGCAACATATTAATCTCTACTAATTGAATCTGGTTAAATTTGTCAAATCCCCTGATTTGGTTAAAAGTTATTTAAACAAATAGTAAAACTCATTAAAAGTTCAAAGTCATTTCTTTTGATTATGCCAGCCTTGCTGTAAAAGAGCGATATGTTCACATAAATTATTAAATTTATTTGACAAAAATGACACAATCACCAAAACATAAATATGTTAATTTTCTTCAACATATCGCAAATATACTAATAAAAAAATATAATTTCAAATAAAACGGCTTTGAATGTTTTACGTCTTAAATAACACAAGATTATACTTTTTAACCCAGATACCAAAGTATACTTTTCTAACGATTTATGCCGCCCAGAACACGAATTTCTACATCAAATTAGGTTTTCGAGATATCATGTCCAATTTAAAAAAAAAACGTTTTAACACCTCGAATTCACAATTGTTAAAACAATTTTTTATTATGAAGAGAAAATTATGATGACAGATTCGGATTCAGTTCCTTTAGAAAAAAGTACTTTGTTTCTGGTTTTCGACATTTTTAACATTTTTTTCCAGAAATATAAAATTATATATAAAATAATACATCCGTTTGTTTAATTTAAACAAAATTATACTTTCATCTTAAACTACGTTCCATATTTTAGACTCCATATAAAACATGTTAGCGTGGATTTAAAAATCGGAATGTTTAAAATTTTTATTTTTTGCAATATGGCCAAAATTTATTTGCAAAAATAAAATAAATCTGCAAATATTAATGAACGATTTTTAATTGTTGTTTAAAATGATTAGGCAAAACAATTAAATTTTAATTTGTGGTATTAAATCCTAAAAAGATAAAATAACAATCTTCCTTTAAAAACTAATTAAAAGGAATAATTAAGCATAATTTTGAAATTAATGTTGAATTTTTTAAATTGCTTACGTTTTCACACTATTATTTTTTTCATTTTATTCAATTTAATATTCAACAATATTCAATGTTATATGTTTAATAAATAAGACCAATATATTTATAATTATTATCATTAATATATAGTCTTATCCCTGCAAATTTATATCAAATTTTTCGATCTCTTTGATTCCTTTATTTTTTAAATGCACAATTTGTTAGAAATACATACATACATATCGCTAATTTACTGCAAGACTGTCATAATCCAAAATATGGGTTTTTTTAACCGAGTACTGGAAAATATTTCCACACTAATGTGTTTTGTTTATTTTTGTTGATTTTCAAAAATGTTTATTAGTTACGGAGGATTTTTTGTTGAAAACGTCAAAAGTAATACCCAATTTTTCACGAATATTGGATAAGTACAAATTTAGTTTATGTTTAGATGAAAAACATATTAACACCTACTTTATATGTACATATGTATATCCGGTTTTATTTTTTAAATTCGGCGATTGTGGTTTATGATGGTCTTGCAGCAAACGACATTTACTTCCATCTTTTAATATCTTTAATAGCCTATATAGTTAGTTATTTTGGAACGCTCACAATGTAAACCCTGACCCGCTGACGTTACAAAGTAATATCCACAACTGTATATTCAAAGAGTTCAAATCTTAGATACAGTCCAATTAAAAGTGGTTTTTATTTAATAATTTTTGTTGTTTTTAATATCGCATTAATAAGCGTTTTTTAAATGTGTGAAATTGACAAAACAATTAATTAAAAATGCTTTGAAATATTACCTTTTTATGAAGATGAATATGCGTGTATGTAGGTAAGTAATTAATTCATATTAGAGCTTTAATAAATCCAAATTAACAAAATTTGAAAATTAATATTTTTTGTAATTAAATATTACATAGTATATGTAGCTCATTTACTCATAATTAAAGAATGTCATTAGTACTTAAAAATCCACGCCGAAAATAATAAATATTTTTGAACATTTATAAAACTGTATATAAGATATTATTTAGTAGAACTTTGTTAGAAATAACATTTTTCAGTAATGACACTTTGGCAGTAAACAAGCGATTGTATGTATGACCTAGGAAAAACATTTTCCAATATATTTGGATATATAACATACATATGTATGTATGTTATATATTCAACATACATATGTATGTATGTACATTCTTGGAAAGATTATGTATAGATTTAAAAATAAATTGGTATTGTTGGGTTGATTTATAACATATTTTATGATAATAAAAAATGTTTTGAGTAAATTTTTTAGCATAGCAGTTTTATATTAAATGTAACACTAATCCGACCCGCACTACTTGAAATTTAAAAAAGGTAAACAAACATTTTTTCAAACTTTGCGCAACACAAATTTTTAATATTGCTTTTTTAATCTGATATACATTCATACATATGTATGTACATATCGTAGTTTTATATGTGCTAAATATTTTCTTAAATAATAACGTATTTTCTTATTGTATTTATTACAAATATGTATGTATATTGTTGTTGTTGTTTATATTTTAATAAAGATTTTTTTTTATTAAACCAACCTAAAGATTCGATTAAATTAATATAGTGCAACTAGTATAACGATTTGTAACTTTTTATTATGGCATAGAATTCATTATTTTTAACTTTTAAACTTTATTATTAGATTAAAACGTTGCCGTATTATGGTTTTTAATTATGTTTTTTTTTTATTTAGACTGTAGTTTAGTACGAAATATAAGCTGTGTTTTTTATTGGTTGGTTTTCTTGTAGAGCATACGTTTCGTTTGAAAGTTAAAGCAAGAACTGATTCAAACAGGGCAACAGGTTGTTTATTCAAACCACCAACGATCGACCACAAAAGCAAAGAAATGTTGGTGGCAGAGCAAAAGCCAAAACTTTAAACCAGTCAACACAACACGGCTTGAGAGTTTTAAGCATAAAGTATTACATTATAGACCAAAAACAAGATAAACATGTTTATGACTCGCACTCTTCGTATGCAGCATTGCTTCCTATTATAAAACAACAAAACCAACAAAAAAACGCAAGAAAAATTAAATACAAGAAAAACAACCTGCAGACCAAAGTTGAAACAGAGTTGTTTAATTTTGATACCCTATAAATCCATTAATGATACTAACATATACAAATCTTGGGTGCTGCGTTCATTTTATATACATTTGCATGTCGATGCGGCGTGTAATGCGATAAGGAATGTCTGACTTTTACAATTAGTACTAACATACCTAGGTAGATCAAAATTTTGAAAATTTCTGAAGATTTTTCATTTTAAAAATTTCGGAAGCGATTATTATTGTGAAACTTTATTGCGAAAGTTTCACAATAATAATCGCTCCAAACTTAAGCTAAATCAAACAATATTAGGTGTCGTGGCAATTTTAATGTTCCGAAATGTATTTGCAAAATACATGCTAATATTAATGTTTAAATAATCTACACAGAACTATAATATCAAAAATATTTATATAAATATTCATAGAAAATATGTGAGTTATTACATTACTTCTAGTACCTCTTATAGCAAATGGTGTACAAAAATATGTATATTATTTCGCTTTGTTAATACAGCCTTAAAGACGATTAAGTTCACCTATTTAATATATTATTTAATTTGAAATTCATGATTAATAAAATCTTAATTTTTCCAAGAAGAGTTGTTTTAAAACTAGCGATATGTTCAATATATTTTGAACCTTAAATTAAATTTCAGAATAAAGCCTAATATTGGGTCTAGGCCCTATAATTGACCAAACCGCATAACATTTAGCAGAGCCACTTAGCAGAAATTGGTAGTAAAGTTTAATTTTCATACAATAGAAGGTATTATTTATGTATGTCCAACTTTATTACAACCCATTAGTGCATAGTATCCCTTTATAGGTATGTTCACTTTTTCCAATTTCCCCCCATTATGTTAAAATAAAAAAAAAATTAAATGGTAAATTTATATTATCACTAAAATCCGAGTTAATTTAAAACACATTTGAGTAAAGAATAAAGAAAGTAAAATATAAATTTTCCAACATTATTATACCCTTCACCTTCGTGAAGGGTATAAGTATAAGTTTGTATAAGTTTGTCATTCCGTTTGTAATTTCTATAATATAATTTTCCGACCCCATAAAGTATATATATTCTGGATCCTTATAGGTAGCGGAGTTGATTAAGCTGTGTCCGTCTGTCTGTCTGTCTGTCCGTCTGTCTGTTCGTCTGTGTGTTTGTTGAAATCAGTTTTTAGAGGACCCCAGATATCGGCGAGATCCGAATCTTCAATAATTCTGTTAGGCATGCTTTCGAGAAGATCGCTATTTAAAATCAGCAAAATCGGTCCATAAATACCGGAGATATGAGCAAAAATCCGAGACAACCTCTGAAAATTTCATTAAAAATACAAATCGCACACCCAGTACAAAAGTGACACAACTCAAAAATTTTTTTTTAAGAAAAGGAAACAAATTTTTTACAAATTCTGAAAGATAAAGAAAGACATAACGTTTTTTTTCTTGAACAGTTAATAACAACAAAATACATTATTATTTTTGTAGAGTTAAACTAGTATCTTGTGTATAGTTTAAGGCTTAAACTTAGGGCTTAAAGAATATAAAAACGCAGAAATAAAATTTTGAGTTGTGTCACTTTTGTACTAGGTGTGCGAAATTTTTCCATGCTTTGATATACATATTGAGTATTTCGTTTCATATGTTTGGATGGCTGTGCGTTTCATTGCCTTGTGTATTTTGTTTTTGTTTTTTGGTGTATTCAGTTTCGAATATTTGTTGGTTTCGTTGCGTTGTGTATTTTGTTTTTGTTTTTTTTTTTTTTTGAGTATTTCGTTTTGTATGTTTGGATGGCTGTGTGTTTCATTGCCTTCTGTATATTGTTTTTGTTTCTTGGTGCATTCAGTTTCGTATGTTTGGATGTCAGCTGGTTTCATTGCGTTGTGTATTTTGTTTTTGTTTGTTTTTTAATATTTCGTTTTGTATGTGTGGATGGCTGTGTGTTTCATTGCCTTGTGTATATTGTTTTTGTTTCTTGGTGTATTCAGTTTCGTATGTTTGGATGTCTGTTGGTTTCATTGCATTGTGTATTTTGTTTTTTTATGTACTTCGTTTCTTATGTTTGGATGCTGTTGGTTTTACTGCCTTGTGTATTTTGTTTTTTGTGTGGTTATTTCGTTTAGCATTGTTGTTGTTCATTTTGTTTTGCTATTGCTATAATAATGATATAATCGGAAAAGTGAAATACATTTAAATTTTATGAAATTGATATTTATTAAATATACTATGGTGATGGGTATATAAGATTCGGCAAAGCCGAATATAGCACTCTTACTTGTTTTACTTTTGTATAGAATAGAACATCTTAAAAACAGTAGTAAACAGAATATTTTTAGAATATAGACCATTAGTCTGGTACAACTTAATATCTACCTAATAATTTTAAACGTATATAAATTTACGATATCGCTAGAGAAATTATTATTTGAGACTTTATAATTTCTGTTAATTTAACTTTCCGACCATAATATTTATTTTTACCAAAGCATATAGAAATGTGTCAAGCCATTTTGGAAATACAGTCACACATTTTTGTTCAGAATTCCCATGGTCTAATCATAAAATTTTTATCTGATGAGATGATTTCTATAAATAGTGAGTTGCACTTTATTAACCTTTACCGATAAAAAATGAATTTTGGAAAACGTCCTTTTATAAAAATTTTCTTTGATTAAGAGTAGAAATATTCATTAATTTTCTGTGATGTGATTCCTTGTTTTATTTAGCAAATCTCCTTCTAAAAGTCGAGAACTTAATTGTAAAATTTTGCATAACATTTAAAAAACCAAAAGTACGCAGAATTATGTATATCTATATATTTCTTTGTTAAGAAGTTGATCTAACGCTTTTTCGATAACCTTAATAAAACTATTTACATAATTATAAAAAAAATGTTTAAGCAAATTTGGTTTTCTGTATATACCCGCTTTACATTTGAAAACACATATGGTTAAATCCAAAAAAATGGTTAAATTTAATGAAACTGATTTATATCCACAAGTACAACCTTTCCTGGGGAATCAAATGAAATAATGTGTACATATTTGAATTTAAAACACTTTCACTATTTTAAATTTAAAAGCTACGAGAAGTCAAATTTAAAATTTCTCAAAAACTTGCTTGTGACAAATTCGACATTCTTCGAAGTACTGTAGCCGCGTACCTCAATATGTATTTTATAAAAGTTTCTGCTACAATTTGTTTAGATCTTCAGAAAGAATCATATGAGTTATTATAAATTTTTGTGCCATCACCCCCCGAATTAGTTATATGGTGTTAAAGTCGTGATTTGTGAATTACACGCAAAGCGTTTATTAAAAATGATGAATGTACCCGAAAATCATTACTCCTTGTCAAGTTATATCTTTAAATCGGAGGCACGTCAAATTACATTCCAGGTTGCAGTGGCATGAGCAGCAGCTTTTATTGTGTAATAGTTACTATACAAAAATTTTTTTGGAAACAATGAAGAAATAGCAATTTGAACTCCTTTGAACAATTTTTGTTAGAACTAATAGGTGAAAAGTTACACTCATTTGAATAAAACCCTGTATGACCAAAATGTTCAACTTTGACCAACTCTAAATCCGGCAGTTCTTGATCGATAGAGCTGGAAATATGTGTCTGGCCTACTATCCGATGGTACTAACATTCATTCAAATCTATTTTTTGAAATTGTCCAAATATTATTACCAGGGCAAGGATTTCTATGCAAATTCATGTTTGTAGTCAGTAACTCAAAATAACTTCTAACTATTTTTCTTTTCGAATCAAAGAATTTGCTATAAAATGCCATCGATTTGTTGTTGCATATTTATTCATATTTTGTTATAAATGCATAAATTGCATATTTTTCTTTAAATTGCATATTTTTTTCATTTTTATTGCATATTTTGAATTTTTTAACACAAACTGTGTTTTGTTTTCTTTATATTTGTACCCTACACCACTTTAGTGGGGAGGTATATTGGGTTTGTGCTGATGTTTGTAACGCACAATAATATTGGTCCTATACCCACCTTAAAGTACACCAATCGGCTCAGAATCATTTTCTGAGTCGATTTAGCTATGTCCGTCTGTCCGTCCGTCCGTCCGTCCGTCCATGTAAACCTTGTAATCAAACTACAGGTCGCAATTTTGAAGATAATTCAATGAAATTTGGTACATGATCTTCTATTATCCCAGGGACAAAGCCTGTTGAAAATGGTTTATATCGGTCCATTATTTCACCTAGCCCCCATACAACTGAACCCGCCGAATAGGGCTTTTAAGTTCATAATTATGTTTAATATACTCATATCTCGACAAAAAGCTGCAATAACCAAGTTGTATACAAGACTTGATGACCCCCAGGAATTCCATAATAATAGGTTCTCATATGACCCTAGCCCCTATGAAAAGCCCCCATCAAAATTTCACTTAAATGTCCACAATTTTATTCAACAATAAACGGCTTAAGTATGTATATCTAAGGCAAGGTACAATTCAACATAAATGCTTTATTATGGCAACTAAATCACATTATATTTTTGTCAAAGGTGTAGGGTATTATATGGTCGGCCTCGCCCGACTATAATTTCTTACTTGTTTTATAATAAATTTGATATTTACATAATTATTTAAAATTGTTTGATATTTATTTAAAAAAATTGTAGCCAAAAAATACAAGGTTTCATCTTTGCAAATATGATGATAAATTTTACAAATTTGTTGTTATTTTTTGTTTAAACCTACATCACTATAATGAAGCAGAGAATAACATTCGGAGTCCATATAAACTGATAACTAACGAAATTTGTCACATCTTATCCTTCATAAAATGCCTTTAAAGTAAAATGTAAGTGATGGGAGTATTATGTACGGATCTATAACCGATTTTACTCTTTAGATAAAAATCGAATTAAATTATCAAAATCAATTTAATTTATTATCCAAAATCGATTTTTATCTAATGCGAAA